GTACAGATGTACGTATTTTAGTGCATATGAGTGGAAGGCACTGAGTGGCTAGAGGTGCGCACTACCACTCCGTAGGACCTGTTTTCGATTGCTGGTTCGGGCAACATCTAAATTAGAAAAAGCCAAATACTCATCAAAGGTGTAAGCGCCAAGTTTTTATTATTATTATATGAGTAGGCAGTTATCTATCAGTGGATTCCCTCCTTCACCCCAACTTCGTTCTTATTATCCACAAACGTTTGATATTCGGAAAATGAATTTAAATCTGCTGTAGATAAGTCAAATCAAACCAAGTAAAACTGTTGTTAAACGGTATCTAATAAAGAACTAACAGTTCAAGAAAACAAAACGCAGTTGGAATGAATTCCGTGGCACTCGCCATAATACTTGTACAAAGAAAAAAGACAATAGTCACAGTTGCAACGAACACAGTCCGTTATGCATTGATCTCAATTTCAACGCCGATGCATAGATGTGTTCATATATACAAACACATACATATATATGTGCATAGCTCACCACTATTGCGAGGTGAAAAGCCACAACTAACTAATCCCGTCTAATAGCTTACACCCAATCCAATATTCTGGTTTTCCTTCGCTACGCTGTTAAAATGCAATAGATTTCTTTCTTTTGATAGCGACAATGATCAGCATTGAATGAAATACAGCTTCGCAGAACGACTGGTATTTTACAACAATTCACTCTGACCAACAATAACAAGGCGAATGGTGAGGCCAGGCGAGCTCCAGTGCCATATCTTGGCTAGTTTGAACCAATTCCAAACGAATCCGGTTTCTCATGTTTACCGTTTTCGTAAGTTCAGGCAACAGGTTCTACTCCCATTCGAGAGATGGTAATTTCAATTGGCCACTCATTGCATTATGGGACAGAAACAATATTAGTGGTATACTCAGAAGAACACGGGGAAAGGACAAGTTTGTGGATTAAACACATAGTAATACCGTTTTTCACGCAATCGAAGCAGGATGTTCAGACGTTTAATAAATTATTACAGCACACTCTCGACATTACAGACATCTTAAATCATACATTCTTAAACTAATAATCAATTTTGCTATTTTATTCCACTTCTGTAGGTGGTTTCAACGCTATCAAGAAAGAATATTCTGAAATATGAAGATTTACCGAAAAAAGAAAATAGACAAGGGTGGGTGCAAGTCACGAGTTTAATTTAGCCAGCTTAAAATGCCGGACGAAAATAGTTTCCTTCTCGTCTAAATATGTACTTACTTCCAATATAAAATTTGGTGGTGATCGGGTAAGTATTTGGGGCCTCGCTCAAGTGAGAAAGAATGAAAATTAGTGGTTTTATTTGCAATCTATTAACAGAGGTCTTCAATTACAAGTAGACAATTGTAAGTGATCAACAAATTTCTCAGGGCATTTTATATGCGATGCTAATACAGAGGATTGCCGTTGATTACTTAATGCATAATGTTTTCGATCTGAACAGTCAGTTTTGGGTCAAAATTTAATTTCAGCTTTCTCTACCTAAATTTTCCCTTAATAAGCAATTTGCAAATCGCTATTTAGTTGTACCTCGAACAGGTACGAAAAACCATGTTCACTGCGCATGAAAAACATCCAAATTTAATTTTAATTAAATAAATTTACATGTTGAATCGTCGCAAAAAACTCGATTAGAACACACATATTATATTTTTCATTGCACATTATATTATAATCTTGCTATTTGATTTTTTTTAACCTAAAAAAATGTTTAAGGAAAAGAAATTGAAGGCGTGTTTTCCAACATATTATTTACTATCAAAATTTAAACTGGTTGCGTTTCAAGTCCCTTTTAAAGTAGTATCTATAAAAAACACAGGTTTACAAAAAAAAGTTTCTTCATATTGAACCAAACCTCTATATCCCTATGTTATACGACGCGGTGAATGCGAATCCGAGGTTTATTAACCTCCATCACGTCGGGTTCGAGGTTATTTGAAGGTCAAATAGCGAAAGATTCATTGAATAAACTTGAAAACTCATATATATGGGGCTTTCGACTCGCTGAACCCGTTTACCTTCATAATGTCAGGTTCGAGGTCATTTGAGGGTCAAATAGGAAAAAAAATTATTCAATAAAGATAAAAATTCGTACATAGGTTTTTGTTATCGCTGAATCTGAATATGGGGATCACTTGATTCTTCAAGGTCATCTAAAGGTGATGTCAAGGTCATCATAAGGTCAAACTGGGAAGACTTTTGTTGAATTTTCAGGTTTATTCAATGAATTTTTCCCTACTTGACCTTCAAATGACCTCGAATCTGGCGTAATGGAGGCTAACAGACTTCGGATTCGCATTCAGCGTGCCGAATAACATAGGAATACACTACGCGACAGTCAAAATCGGGATAGAATGAAACCAACGGGAAATGTTATATCGGTCAAAAACAAGTTATACGTGGCCCGACGTTTCGCTGGGTCACGTCTAGGAATCGAGATATATCGATTTGAAGTTAGTAACTATCATATAGGGGAAATTGTCACCTTTGGTGGTCTTTTTTT